GCAGAGGCGATGGGGTGATGGGGTTTGGCACAGGTGGCAGGGTTTTGAGGGAGTGGCAGGGGGGGGGGGGGGGGTTGGGGGGGGGGGGGGGAAATGTTGTGATAGTGTCCTTTCACTTTCAGGGTTTGAGTGGGTGGAAAGGTAGGTGATAGGGTTTGTCAGAGGTGACAGTTTGGGAGGAGTTACAGGACAGGTGTCAGGGTTTGACAGGAATGACGGGGTTTGGCAGGATGATTCCTGACAGATCTGGAGGTGGAGGGATGGTGGAGGATCCCTGGCTTCACCTGGCCCCAGTGAATGGATGGTGTTTTGCTTTGAGTTTTTCATTATGTCAAATTCCTTTTTGTTTAGGAGGGATTTGGGGACGGCATAGGGATAAAATTTGATTTGACAGATAAAAATAGCTAGCAAACAATATAGTTAGTCTTACACTTTCATTCTTCTTTTAAAGCACTGATGATAAGATTATACTTGCCCTGGTATAGCCAATAAGTGTTTTATTGTTTCCTGCAAAGTACAGTAACAGTGAAAACATGCATAATTGAAATGATTAATTGTTTAAGCTGCAGATCAGTAACATATTCTGAGAATATCAGCCAGCTTTTTGAAAAGTATGCAATTAATCTTAATAATCTTTCCTCTCAAGCTAAATTTAAAATTCAGTGGCAAGATACAGTTAAATGTAACTGGAAGATCTGGCATAGCTCACATTGATTTCCATGTATCTGCATTGGTTTTGGAGTATTTTCTGCAAATTTGAACAAAGTAGTCCGTCTGGATTTGCACGTCCCTATTCAAGCATGGCTGTGTTAGGCACTTAGAGTCTTCAAGAGAAAAAAATAGTATTAAGTTTGTATTAAGGTTTTAGATACAACTGTTTTTATATACTACAATTTATGGTGACAATCTGCCTCCCTCAGGATGAATTGCCAGAAAAGTTCATTTACCCAGTAGCCAAAAAGTAGGTGACATGATAAATATGTATTTAGCACATGACTGAAGTGTGTGTTCTTGTATGACAAAGGACTGCTTGCCCATTCATGTGACTCAATCGGCATCCATTGTGGAAGGGGGAACCGACCCTGGTAGGTGCACACATAGCCCCCCCAAAGGCTCTGAAAGTCTATTTGAATCACCCTATCCAATGGTAGGGTGCTGTTTTGCACCAAGGAGGTGCTGGTTCATTTGGGATCTCAGTAGGAAAGGCGTGGGCTCTCAAGGCTAGTTAACTGGTTTACTGCATAAAGAATAGTAATAGTAGAAAATGTGATCATGATCTTATGTCCCTTCTGCTGCTGAGGACCCCAGCTATCTCAGCATGTGACCAGCCCCTTCACGTTGATCAGCGTGCTGAACAAATCCCATCTATGTTGAGGCTTACACTCGTAGTGGTCTTTAGAGCTTTAGTAAGATTTTTTTTGGAAGTAAACAACTGTGCTTCATTTCTGCAGTCAAGTAAAAGAAAGTTGAATGTCAAGACGACAAAGAATGTGAATGCTGTAATCTACTTGTACATGTACTGGGTCAGAGCTGTTCCAGGCTTCTGTTACAGTCTGTCTGCCAAGTTCATCCAGCAGTCACCGACGTATGGTGAAAACATTTAATTCTTGCACATCTCCAGAGGAATGAGTTAAAGGTGATCATGATGTGTGTTCAGGTTATGTAATGGTCACTCATGCTGACATATGGGTCTCTTCAACTAAGGCCTGTGTTTAAACTCTGCCCAGATTCAGCTTGAAATTGCTGTCTCCTCATTACAGTGTCTTCTGCAGTGACCTGCTACAGGTGCCCTTATTACGCTGTACCAACTTTAGTGGTTTTTTTAATTGTGCTTCTGGACTGGAAATCTTGCTTCTTTCCTTGCTATGTGCTATGCTTCAGATTATAGAGTCTTAATATTTTACCTTCTCTAGAGGTTTTTAATCGGTATGAGTTTACTTTGTTGTGCTTTGGTGGCATTCTGGTGCCAGACAAGGTTCTATTGCAAACAAGTTTTCTGTAGTGTATAGCCATAGGTCTGGAGTCCCTAAATCTAATTTGGCTTAACTCTAGGCTGCTGCTGCCCCTACACTCAGCCACTTGTTTTGGAAGTATTTTTTTCTGTGACCTCAGTTTTCAGTCATGGGAGTTTTCATTCAGTTCAGATGCTGAACAGTTCACTGTGCAACTGTGAATTTCAGAGCCAGCATGAGGAAAGTGCAGTAAAAAGTGGTTGGGGACACAAGGGGGTGGAACTGGCCTTTTCAACCCCTGGATTTTTACATTTGGTTGGAATGGTGTGTAATGACAGCTGGACTGCTAATAGAAGTTAGTTACAAGTGTTCTATCTTGCTAATAACTTTTGTCTTTTTGAGAAGCTAAAACAGTACCCATACTGTTTTTTGTTGTGCATGATTAATCTGTTGTAACGAGTGTCTTAAGCATAATTTTACTGCGTGCTTATATTCTTGTGATTAACCTTAGGTCTTAGAGCTAGTAATTTCTCTTTACATTTACTGTAGTGCTTGATACCATAAACAATTTCTACTTTTGATTGGTTACTAATCTTTTTTACACTACTTTATTAGTACTGCTGCAGCAATTTTCTATATTAATATAGCTATAATTATTATACCAATAAGACTAATACTTGAAACTAATCATTACACAACTTTTTAAGAAATGTGTGTAATTTTAGTGTGGTGTTTCTTGTCTTAAGCCAGTCAGGTGATGGCCATCTGTTTATGCCAGGCTGCACTTTAAGCTTGTTACTTATGCTAACCCTTGGGCTTATTGTTTAGCAGAATTTACAGCAGAAACTAAAAACTGAAACAAATCTATTAGTGTGTGGAGTAGTCCCTTTAATAAGGTCATTTTTTTTTAAGATCACCAAACCTAACAGAAAGTGCATTTATTAACGTGTTTCTGCTGCTTGATGGTATCTGTTGCTTGTGTGCCACTTGTTGGCCTTTGCCCCTTGCCCCAGAAGAGAAATTAGCACTCCAAAGGTCACATGCACAAGAGCATTGTATTGGAAATATTTAGAAGCATTATTTTTTATTTTGTTTTGCTCAGGTTTTATCTTATATTAGCATCTATTTCTTGACATTATTGTTCCCAAGATGAGAAATGACCAGTTTACACATGCAGTTGTAGCTGGTGCAGCTTTAAGGCCAGCTATATTGTGGTTCACTGAATTTGTAGTTGGTGTACATAATTTTGCTTGGTTGAAAACTGACAGTGTAGGAGTTGCAAGGCCTGCCAAATACAGCGGATGCCTTGCAGCAACAACGCTTGCTGGAGAGGTGGAGAAGGCAGCTGGAGCAGATAACAGTTTTAGCTGTCATACTTGTAGGAGGCTGCTGTTACAAATGTCTCAGAGCTCTGGCAGGTCTTTTAAGCTGACTTGTTAATGCCCAGGCATAAACTCAGAAGCAAGAGAGTTTCTACCATCAAAAGTGAGACTCTTAGAGCAACATAAATGAAACATCAAATTTAAAGGTGTTTTAATTAAAATTGTCACTACATGATAAAAAAGTGGTGCTGCACATTAAGTCGTCCCAAGAGTATGTAGTTAGATGTTGCTTAGGTTTGATTATGCCACTTGTCCTTGAGAGGTCGCTCCTGTGTAACAGGTATCATTAACAGGTTAACAGGTGGCCAGCCTATTGCCGATGAATGCATTACCTGACCTGTCAGTGTCTTGGAAAACTAAGGTCTTACATATGTCTGCATGAATAAGAGCTGAGGACAGAAGCAGAGCATCAGTTTCAAAACAGAGCTTCCTTTTGTGGTCTTACTATGAATATAAGTTGTCCAACCCTAAAGAATGCAGGAAGATGTATCTATTTTTTTATTTGCCACTAAACCTATTTTAGTATCTGTTCTTCTGGTTCATTTCTTCTTCTGATATGTCCCATTTCTAACATCTGTTCTGCTGTTCCATTTCATGTGAAATAACTTAGTATAAGCTGCACTGTGATGGAAGTTAGACTATTTGTAGAATAATTAGTCATCAAGATCTAATTTCTGGTTTATTTGTTGGAAATATACACATTTCTGCTGTGATAAGGCCTTAACCCTCTCATAAAGCTTAAGGTTAAAGATCACAGGCCTTTTCTGTTCTGTACCTCTTGACACATTTGGAACACATGAGTATGCCAGTTGATGCTTTGTAGACAACTCTATGAACAGCTGCTGTAACAAGTCTGATAATGTGGAGCAGGGAAAAAGCAGTTGGGGGTTTGCAAGAAGGAATGGTCTTCTTATCAGGTCATTAAAGGAGTAAAACACTACTCAGTTTTCCCTGTCCATGAAAAACATGATTCATGGTTTCTTTCATTAAGTTAGACTTCATTAAGTTAGACAAAGTCTGTCTGCCAGGTGAATACATTATACTCTTTACTTACCAATCTTAGTTATCGCTGTGTGTATCCAGATCACATCAAAGTACAGAGGCGGACTACAGAAGAGAGTTAACTGTGCAATTACAGTAGCTGCTCTGAGTAGTTTCCTAGTAGGGTGAGTTAATGGAAACATGTTGATTCAACAAAAGCAAAATGTTTTGTAGGACAGTAATGTTCTCTCTCAAAACTTTGGATAGGATTTAAAAAGAAAGTTCCATAGGGAATCTAATTCAGGTCATTGTGATCAATAAATAACAGAACCTCCAGTTTGAAGAACTCCTTCACTTATGTGGACTCATGTTAGGCTTCTAAGCAAGAGGGGGACAGTGAGGGCCCTTCCTCCCTCATTTCACCTCCTTCAATTTTAGTTTTGCTGTAGTGTAATCCTTTTTAAAGCCTTGGCATTTCCTAAATGACAGTGTTACCTTTTCAGTTATCTCTGGGTGTTGGTTAGCTTCACTTGAGTTTATGTTCCTCATTTAAACAGGGACTTTGTTTTTTGATAACAGTCTCCCTTCAGAGAGTTGCAATTCCTTCCTTAAGGACCAGAAGTTGTCTCTTAGCATATTAACAACTGCTGATTGCTCTGAAGGTCAGTACGCTCAGGATGCTTAGAAGGTAATCATAAACTCTTCCCAGAGTTGCCTCTCCTGTTTCAGTAAGCCTGTAATTGTAATTTAAAGTTGCAGATGTTGGAACATTAACATTTTATGTATCCTATGATACATTAAAATGCCTTAGGAATCTTAAAAAAAGTAGGATTGCATTATTAGTGTCCATCTATAGCACTCAATAGTGTGTAAGTAAGTACTCTTCTGTATACTTGGCCTTGAAAACCATTATTTCAAGTGTTCCACCTGTGTACTGTTCGACATATTTCTGGATAATACTGATCTCTTTGCTTTACTTTTGTTTAAGTAAAGTTGTTCTTGATTTCTCCCAAAAAGCACTCTTCCATCTGGAGTCTCTTATCAGTTGAAATAATCCCTTTTTGTTGCATTCACACAGATACAATTCTGGGATTTCAAATCCTGTCTGAAAGCATCACCCAGCATTCTGTGATGTTAGTAGGCCTATTAATATTTATTTCTGTGTAGTCCTTCCTTTTCAGATGAATACTTTAGCCCTCTGTGTCTTTGAGATTTGTTTGCAATTTCTCATGCAGCAGTATCTCATGATGGAAATTTGAAGTTAGTTTCAGTATCTAGCAAAGGGAACAGCTTGCTTGGAACAGGGAAGCAATTTTGACCCTGAATACAACCGTGTCCAGAGAGTAGGATGTTTATGATGTAGAGAAAATGCAGTGTATGTTGCATTATTGTTAGTTCAAAATACCTAGCCTGGTGTATATGATAATCAGGCTGTTTCCTTCAGGTTGATAAATCTTTCTGATGAATAAGCAATGGGGGGTGGGGGGCAGGTAGGGGGAAGGAGGCCTAAAATA